CAAAAATTTTCGATGGAAATTATTTGCGATAGATCGCAAAAATTTTCGATGGAAATTATTTGCGATAGATCGCAAAAATTTCATATGGAAATTATTTTCGACTAGTCGCCAAAAATTTCCTATGGAAATTATTTTCGACTAGTCGCGAAAAATTTCCTATGGAAATTATTTGCGATAGATCGTAAAACTTTCCTATGGAAATTATTTTCGACTAGTCGCGAAAAATTTCCTATGGAAATTATTTTCGACTAGTCGCGAAAAATTTCCTATGGAAATTATTTTCGACTAGTCGCCAAAAATTTCCTATGGAAATTATTTTCGACTGGTCGCAAAAATTTTCTATGGAAATTATTTTCGACTGGTCGCAAAAATTTTCTATGGAAATTATTTTCGACTGGTCGCAAAAATTTTCTATGGAAATTATTTTCGACTGGTCGCAAAAATTTTCTATGGAAATTATTTTCGACTGGTCGCAAAAATTTTCTATGGAAATTATTTTCGACTGGTCGCAAAAATTTCCTATGGAAAAAATTTCCTTTGGAAATTAAATTCAAGAAATCAATATCCCTTCACCATATGCCAGTTGTGTGGGTCCGTGTTCAATGACCAGTAACTCCTCTCTCCCCGCCATTTTTGAGTTCCTCAAAAATCTAAATAAATCTAATTTCATGCTCACGTGTGTGCATTCGTTTTGTTGTTGTTGTTTTTTTTTTGTTCGTTTCAAAAGTGTGTACACAATATGAACAGGCAGTCAGTCAGCCAGCCAGCCATGTGGGGCTTTCGCGGCTGCTTTTTCAACTTTGTACCTCAAACGAAATACTACAACTACAATGTGAAATTGGCTGCATGTGTGTGTGTGTGTGTTTGAAGAGTGTGCCTGCAACCAGGCTGGATGTATGCCTGGCTGACTGGATGGTTGAATGTCTGTCTGTCTGTCTGTCTGTCTGCGATTGTTTTGAATTTGTGTATCTATGCAAAATTGGTTGTTATGTATGGGTGTCTGTGTGTATGTGTGTGTGTGTTTATGTTTTATTTGTTTGTTCCTTTGTTGTTGGCTTGGGCTTTGGTTTGACTGTCTGCAATTTCTACATATGCGTGTTGTGTTATCGTCATCATCAGCATCATCGTACTACCACTTCCACTTTACACATCCTGCTGCATCTCCTTCACCTCCTCCACCGGCACCACCAACAAAACTATACAAGTAGTCTTTCATTTGGATGCCTCGTCCCTTTGACTATCACCGGGGTTGTGGTTGTTGTTGGTGGACCAACTTTTGCTGTGTTCTGCTATTCATTCTGTTTTGTTTGCAAAAATTTTGTTGCCTCCACTGTTTATTCCTGTGTCTGGCTGGCGGCGTTTTGAACTTGAAAAACATTTTTATTGCCGGGCTTTGTTGTTCACTCTTCGTTTGTGTTGTTCTTTTTCGATGCTGCCGCTGCTTTTAGTTACTATTCTCCACATTTGCTTTTGGTTGTTTCGTTTTATATTTTCTAAATTCCTGGCACGAGTCGTCGCTTCGTCGTTTGGCTGGTTACTTCTGCCACTGCCACATTTTCGGTTTCCATTTTCGTCCTCCATTGTTGTGTTGACTGACGTTTGTTTAGGATTTTTGATTTGATTTTAGTTGGAAAAAGTATGCACACAATAAGCGCCAAAAAGGATTCTAGCAAATGGTTGAGTGAAGAGCGCGAGAGGGGGAGGGGATTGGGAGGTCGTTGTGTTTAGTTTAGGAATCCCGGTATTTAGAGAGCGCACAATTTTAACATAAAGTTTTGCAAGTTTTGTTTTTCTTTTTTTTTTTTTTTTGGGAAATTTTGAACCCAAAGCAAACTGACATAGTTTCTGAATGCCAATGAGGAAAATCGAAAAATGAGAAAAGAGGAAAAAACACGTGGAATTTAGCAAAACTAACACATTTAGGGTTCAAATGATTAGAGAGTTTTGGAATGAGTTTTGTTTTCTTTAAGAAATGCTTAGATAGGTCAATGAATTTTAAAGGGGTTGAAAAGGAAATAGAAAATAACGACAGGATTCAAAAAAATCAAAACAAAATTTTCGACAAAAAAAAAAAACTTCCATAGAAAATTTTTTCGATCCGATAATTTCGTTAGAAAAATTTTCTCGACTAGTCGAAAATGATTTCGTTAGAAAATTTTTTGCGATCCGATCGAAAATAATTTCCATAGGAAATTTTTGCGACTAGTCGAAAATAATTTCCATAGGAAATTTTTGCGACTAGTCGAAAATAATTTCCATAGGAAATTTTTGCGACTAGTCGAAAATAATTTCTATAGGAAATTTTTGCGATCCGATCGAAAATAATTTCTATAGGAAATTTTTGCGACTAGTCGAAAATAATTTCTATAGGAAATTTTTGCGACTAGTCGAAAATAATTTCTATAGGAAATTTTTGCGACTAGTCGAAAATAATTTCTATAGGAAATTTTTGCGACTAGTCGAAAATAATTTCTATAGGAAATTTTTGCGACTAGTCGAAAATAATTTCTATAGGAAATTTTTGCGACTAGTCGAAAATAATTTCTATAGGAAATTTTTGCGACTAGTCGAAAATAATTTCTATAGGAAATTTTTGCGACTAGTCGAAAATAATTTCTATAGGAAATTTTTGCGACTAGTCGAAAATAATTTCTATAGGAAATTTTTGCGACTAGTCGAAAATAATTTCTATAGGAAATTTTTGCGACTAGTCGAAAATAATTTCGTTAAAAATTGTTTGCGACTAGTCGAAAATAATTTCGTTAGAAATTGTTTGCGACTAGTCGAAAATAATTTCGATAGAAATTGTTTGCGACTAGTCGAAAATAATTTCGTTAGAAAATTTTTTGGCGACTAGTCGAAAATAATTTGGTTAGAAAATTTCTTGGCGACTAGTCGAAAATAATTTCGTTAGAAAATTTTTTGGCGACTAGTCGAAAATAATTTCGTTAGAAAATTTTGTGTAATTTTCTATGGAAATTATTTTCGATCGGATCGAAAAAAATTTTCTATGGAAATTATTTTCGATCGGATCGAAAAAAATTTTCTATGGAAATTATTTTCGATCGGATCGAAAAAAAATTTCTATGGAAATTATTTTCGTTCGGATCGCGAAAATTTTCTAGGAAATTATTTTCGATTGGATCAAAAAAATTTTCTAACGAAATTATTTTCGACTAGTCGAAAATAATATCTATAGGAAATTTTTGCGACTAGTCGAAAATAATTTCTATAGGAAATTTTTGCGACTAGTCGAAAATAATTTCCATAGAAAATTTTTTGCGACTAGTCGAAAATAATTTCCGTAGAAAATTTTTTCGATCCGATCGAAAATAATTTCTATAGAAAATTTTTTCGATCCGATCGAAAATAATTTCTATAGAAAATTTTTTGCGATCCGGTCGAAAATAATTTCTATAGAAAATTTTTTGCGATCCGGTCGAAAATAATTTCTATAGAAAATTTTTTGCGATCCGGTCGAAAATTATTTCTATAGAAAATTTTTTGCGATCCGGTCGAAAATTATTTCTATAGAAAATTTTTTGCGATCCGGTCGAAAATAATTTCTATGGAAAATTTTTTGCGATCCGGTCGAAAATAATTTCGTTAGAAAATTTTTTGCGATCCGGTCGAAAATAATTTCTATAGAAAATTTTTTGCGATCCGGTCGAAAATAATTTCTATAGGAAATTTTTGCGACTAGTCGAAAATAATTTCTATAGGAAATTTTTGCGACTAGTCGAAAATAATTTCTATAGGAAATTTTTGCGACTAGTCGAAAATAATTTCTATAGGAAATTTTTGCGACTAGTCGAAAATAATTTCTATAGGAAATTTTTCGCGACTAGTCGAAAATAATTTCTATAGGAAATTTTTGCGACTAGTCGAAAATAATTTCGTTAGAAAATTTTTCGCGACTAGTCGAAAATAATTTCGTTAGAAAATTTTTCGCGACTAGTCGAAAATAATTTCGTTATAGAATTTTTGCTATCCGAACGAAAATAATTTCCATAGAAAATTTTTTGCGATCCGATCGAAAATAATTTCGTTAGAAAATTTTTGCGATCCGGTCGAAAATAATTTGGTTAGAAAATTTTTCGCGACTGGACGAAAATAATTTCGTTAGAAAATTTTTGCGACTCGTCGAAAATAATTTCGTTAGTAAATTTTTTCGATCCGATCGAAAATAATTTCGTTAGTAAATTTTTTCGATCCGATCGAAAATAATTTCTTTAGTAAATTTTTTCGATCCGATCGAAAATAATTTCGTTAGTAAATTTTTTCGATCCGATCGAAAATAATTTCGTTAGTAAATTTTTTCGATCCGATCGAAAATAATTTCGTTAGTAAATTTTTTCGATCCGATCGAAAATAATTTCGTTAGTAAATTTTTTCGATCCGATCGAAAATAATTTCTATAAAATTTCGAAAATAATTTCGTTAGAAAATTTTTGCGACCAGTCGAAAATAATTTTGTTAGAAAATTTTTCGCGACCAGTCGAAAATAATTTCGTTAGAAAATTTTTCGCGACCAGTTGAAAATAATTTCGTTAGAAAATTTTTCGCGACCAGTCGAAAATAATTTCGTTAGAAAATTTTTCGCGACCAGTCGAAAATAATTTCGTTAGAAAATTTTTCGCGACTTAGTCGAAAATAATTTCGTTAGAAAATTTTTCGCGACTAGTCGAAAATAATTTCGTTAGAAAATTTTTCTGCGACTGGTCGAAAATAATTTCGTTAGAAAATTTCGACTAGTCGAAAATAATTTCGTTAGAAATTTTTTCGCAACTAGTCGAAAATAATTTAAATAAATTTTTTTTCAACTTTGTTGTTGTTTGTTTTTTGTTATTAGAACCTTCTTGTTCGTTCGTTGGCTGCTCTGGAGAATTGGTTCCTTTGAGTTTTTTCTTTTGTTATTTTTTTTTTAATTTAAATGAAAAATACCATATCTTGAAATTTTGTTAATACCGTTTTCCCATTGCTTTTTTCCTATCTTCCAGGTGCTTTTTGACTGTTTGGAACATTTTTTAAAAACTTACGTTAAAACGTTGTTGATACTTATTAATATTTGTTTTATTTTATTAAAATAATAATAATAACAAAATAAAAAACCAAAAAAAAAAAAAAGAACAAAAACGTAAAATTGTCACAACCAAACCAACACCTAACCGAAATTCCCAGTCGAACCAAAAACAGGAAGAACTCTCCTTAAAAACAACAACTCCCCGTTAATACAAAAACAAAAATTCAAAATCAAGAACTTTTTAGGAACAAAGTGCAATTTTGTTTTAAGTTTCAAATACATATGATTTAAAAAAAAAAAAAATAAAACCAACAACTTTCAGTTCCGAAAAAAAAGAAAAACGAAATAAAATAGCAACAACAAAAATAGTAACTTTTCATTTTCAGTTCAAAAACAAAAGCAAAAAAAAAAAACCACAAAAAGAATATTTTTAGTTTTATTTCTCAAAATTTAACAAACAAAATTCAAAACAACAACAAAAAAATTTGGAAACCAACAACAACAACAACAAAACTCAAATCAACTACAGCAACAAACTACAACAAACAAAAGGAAATAAGGAACCCCCAGCAGCAATAAACAGAAAAACCAAAACAACAACAACAACAATAACACAACAATAAACCGTAACAATAAAATAAGCAAATAAAACAAACAACAAAACAAGTAACACAAAAAAGTAACGAAATAAAACAAAAACCAAAACCAAGCAACAACAACAACAACAACAACAAGAAAAACCAATCCAAATCCCTCTACTTCTCCTCAATAACAAAGCAACAACAAAAACTAATTAAATAAATAATAAAGCAACAACAACAACAACCGATCAATCAAATCCCCCTCCTCCACAACTCCAACTGAAGCAGCAACAACAACAAAATAATAATAAAAATAACATTCACTACAACAACAACAACAACAAAAATAGTAACGAATCTTAAAAAAAATTTCGGAACTTCAAACACAAATTCAACATTTTATGCAGTAAAATAGTTAACAACAACAATAATAATAAAAAAAAACTAATAGCCAAACAACAACAAAACGGAAACTCACCGCCAAAAAATAAAAACAACTCCCAAACTCTGTCAAAATCCAAATCCAAAGAAATAAACCGTCAAAATTCAAAAAACAAAAAAAAAATAGCCAAAATTTGTTAAATTTTACGAGAGAAAGCCATAGTCGAAATTTTTGAATTTTTGTAAGACTAGCAGCCCCCAACCTCCCCCACCCCGGAACTCACAACGAATTTCAAATTCAAAAGTCCAGAATTCCGATTCATGGTCATGGTGAAATATTCGGTGAAACTGACTAACTAACTCAGAACTAAATATGATTTGTCAAATTCTAAGTTTGTGATTTCGTTTCAACACAAAAACCAACCAAACAACAAAAACAAAAAAAAATGTTTCTTTAAAAACACGTCAAAATCAGCACAGCAGCACAGTGTTCTGAACTTGAAAACCAAAAAAAAAACAAACACTCGAAAGCGATAATAATTTGCAAGCAAACCAAAAAAACGTTTCTGAATAACGCCAGCGTGAGAAATCTAGAATCCAAAAAAAAAACAAGGATCACAAAAACAATTTTGAAAACAAGGAAAAAAATTCCAATACTCCTTTCAAGGGCATCAAGCCGGAAATTTCTTCAGAGAAAATAGAAGGAAAAACCCCAAAAATTCATTCAAAATAATAAGAAAAAAAATCAAATCCAAAATTACAATTTTGGCCAAGGCAAGAAATTCAAAAAAAAAAAAAAAAAACAACAAATTTTTGTCAAAAAAAAAAAAAATACAAAAAACCAAAATCTTCCGCGAAAGGAAAAAGTTTTGAAAAAAATCACCCTCTGAACATTTTGTGTGCAAAGCAAAAAAAAAAAAAACAAATTCATAAAATTATTATAATTATCATCAGAAAAACAAAAATATATTCTAAGATATTAATTATTAAAAAAACAAAAACACACACAAATTATGATATAAATGAATGTCTCATAAAATAAAAAAAAAACCAAAAACAAAAACAAAACATTTTACTGCATTAAAATTAAAAAAAAAAGCAAAATAAAAATAAAAATTAAATAAAAACAAAAAAAAGGAGAACTCAACACTTCGAAAAAAAAAAATATTCAAAATTTTCGTTTTTGGCCCATTATCTAAACCCCCAAAAAACAAACAAAACAATCGTCCATTGCTGTTAACTACATCCGAGGGCATAAGTAATATCAGCTCTGAAAATTCGGAAAAAATACAATACTGCAATTTTTGGCTCTAAAACCAAATTTTCAACAACGCCAAGGACAACTTCAAACAAAAGGTAAGCTTTCATTGTAGAAATAAGACCCTAGCTTGCGTTTGGACTGAGATTTTGTTCAAAGTAAATATTCACCGAAAGGAACGAATAGTTGGAACTCTATCATGAAGGCTCAATTATTGTTCAATGAAAATTCGAAATAACAATTTGAAAAGCAAAAAAAAAAAAAAAAAACAGTAAAGAAAGTCCTAAAGTCGGGGCCGGGGCCGATTTTATGATACCCTACACCACTTTGCTAATTTAGTTGAGCTCCACTTAATAATTAAAAGTTTTTTTATGGGAGAATTCAATCATACACGCCATGATTATAATTATAATTTAAAGTTCCGAAGGACTAAATATGCCAAAGCATTTGTATCTTTTAAATTCGGACTTGTATTGGCCATTTGGTGCAAAATTAATTTGAAATCAGATAAAGATATATATAGGGGAACTATATCCAAATCGGAACCGATCTCGATAAAATTTGGCAAAGATATTTTTGAGCTGTATTTGATATATTTCCCTGAATATCGTTGTTACAGAGTGCATATAACGGCTGCGGAGGACAAAAATAACAAATCGGATGAACAATATATATGGGAGCTATAGCTATATCTGAACCGATTTCCATCAAATTTGGCATACTACCTTCTAGACTAAATTCGGTCGTAAGTGCCAAATTCCATCCCATTTGGACAAATATTAGACGTTTGGTGTACAATCAAAGGTAAATCGGACGAAGTTATATGTGGGAGCTATATCCAAATCTAAACCGATCTTCACCAAATTTGAAATACTAGCTTCTACACTCAATTCGGTCGTAAGTGCCAAATTTCATCCAATTTGGACAAATATTAGACGTTTGGTGCACAATCAAAGGTAAATCGGACGAAGTTATATATAGGGGAGCTATATCCAAATCCGAACCGATCTCCATAAAATTTGGCACAGATATTTCTGAGCTGTATTTGATATATTTTCCCAAATATTGTTGTTACAGAGTGCATATTACGGCTGCGGAGGACAAAAATAACAAATCGGATGAACAATATATATATATGGGAGCTATAGCTATATCTGAACCGATCTTTACCAAATTTGACATACTAGCTTCTAGACTCAATTCGGTTGTATGTGCCAAATTCCATCCCATTTGGACAAATATTAGACGTTTGGTGCACAATAAAAGGTAAATCGGACGAAGTTATATATGGGAGCTATCTGCTAAATCTGAACCGATCTCGATAAAATTTAGCAAAGCTATTTCTGAGCTGCATTTGATATATTTCCCCAAATATTGTTGTTACAGAGTGCATATTACGGCTGCGGAGGACACAAATAACAAATCGGATGAACAATATATATGGGAGCTATAGCTATATCTGAACCGATTTCGATCAAATTTTGCATACTTATTTTCAGGTCTAGTTGAGTTGTATGTGCAAAATTTCATACTATTCGGGCTGATATTACACGTTTGGTGCACAATAAAAGGCAAATCGGACGAAGATATATATGGGAGCTATCTGCTAAATCTGAACCGATCTCGATAAAATTTAGCAAATGTATTTCTGAGCTGAATTTGATATATTTCCCCAAATATTCTGGTTACAGAGTTCATATTACGGCTGTGGAGGACAAAAATAACAAATCGGATGAACAATATATATGGGAGCTATAGCTATATCTGAACCGATTTCGATCAAATTTGGCATACTTATTTTCAGGCCTAATTTGGTTGTATGTGCAAAATGTCATACTATTCGGGCTGATATTACACGTTTGGTGCACAATAAAAGGCAAATCGGACGAAGATATATATGGGAGCTATATCTAAATTTTGACCGATTTTCTCCAATTTCAATAGGGTTCGTCCTTGGGCCAAACAAATGTTGTTTGCAAAGTTTCATCTCAATCGGATAATAAATGCGACCTGCATTTTGTTCACAAGAATACATGGACAGACGGACGGACAGACTGACATGCATAAATCAACTCAGAAAGTGATTCTATGCAGATCATCAAACGGAACTATGGGTCTATCTCGTTTCCTTTTGCCTGTTACAAACAAATGCACAAAGACATAATACCCTGACCACCTTGTGATGTAGGGTATAAACATGTTAAAAAGCAGTAAGTTCGAACTTGGAATATCCTCCACAATTGGGAACGAATTTGGAAATTTTCAAAAAGTAAAATCCTTAAATAATTCTGTTAAAATTTTAAAAATACCGAATATAGCCATTATATTGGTGTCTATACGACGTGGACCCACACAGGCATTGTTTGTCATAAGTCATTACCAAATTCAAATTCGAAACTTGAAATAAACGGTGAATAATGTAGCTAAAATCATCAAAATATCGTATACAGGCAGGTAGCGTTATACCGGTGCTGTGCGAAGACCTGGACCAGCATAGACAATTTTCTGCCATAGGCTATAGCATCCATTACGAACGTCAAATACGATATTTCAAAAAAAATTGTACCTAAGCTCATCAAAATACCGAATATAAGGAGGTACTGGTATGTGGGGCCTATACGAAGACCTGGACCTGCATAGACAATTTTCTGTCACGGACTGTAGTTTCCGCTATGAACTATAAATGCGTAATTTGAAAAAATTCCGGTGAATAATGTCGCCAAAATCATCAAAATCCCGAATATCGGGAGGTACCGTTATATGGGGGCTATACGAAGACGTGGACCTGCACAGACAATTTTCTGTCTTAGGCTGTAGTTTCCATTGCGAACTTCAAATACCAAATTTTAAACAATTCCGGTAAATAATGTCGCTAAAATCATCAAAATACCGAATATCAGGAGGTATCGTTATATGGGGGCTATACGAAGACGTGGACCTGCACAGACAATTTTCTGTGTTAGGCTGTAGTTTCCATTGCGAACTTCAAATACCAAATTTTAAACAATTCCGGTGAATAATGTCGCTAAAATCATCAAAATACCGAATATCGGGAGGTACCGTTATATGGGGGCTATATGAAAACGTGGACCTACATGGCCTATTTACGAACTTATCCTGCCTGCTGAAAAAATATACATGTGTGCAAAATTTTAGCCTTCTATACCAATTCGTTCGAAAGATAGCGTGATTACAACAGAAAGACGGACAGACAGACGGACATCGCTAAATCGACTTAGAATTTTACGCTGATCAAGATCATAGTATGGTGGAGGGTATAACAAGTTAAAAAGTATCCGTCGGTTTTGCCGGCAGATGTTTACCCTCAGCCCATATCATCGTCATCATCATCAGTTTTAGTATCATCATCAGTTTTAGTAAGAAAATTCAGATCCGCTCCAACAGTTCGTGTTAGGCCATTTTATACCCTACACCACAAGGTGGTCAGGGTATTATGTCTTGACACCAAACGTGTAATATCAGTCCGAATAGTATGGAATTGTGCACATACAACCAAATTAGGCCTGAAAATAAGTATGCCAAATTTGATCGAAATCGGTTCAGATATAGCTATAGCTCCCATATATATTGTTCATCCGATTTATTATTTTTGTACTCCGCAGCCGTAATATGAACTCTGTAACCAGAATATTTGGGGAAATATATCAAATGCAGCTCAGAAATACATTTGCTAAATTTTATCGTGATCGGTTCAGATTTGAATATAACTCCCCTATATATAACTTCGTCCGATTTACTTTTTGTTGTGCACCAAACGTCTAATATTTGTCCAAATGGGATGGAATTTGGCACTTACGACCGAATTGAGTCTAGAAGCTAGTATGTCAAATTTGGTGAAGATCGGTCCGGATATAGCTATAGCTTCCATATATACTCTTCTTCCGATTTGTTATATTTGTTACCCACAGCCGTAATATGCACTCCGTAACGACGATTTTCAGCGAAATATATCAAATACAGCTTAGAAATATCTTTGCCAAATTTTATCGAGATCGGTTCCGATTTGGATATAGCTTCCATATATAACTTAGTCCGATTTACATTTTATTGTACACCAAATGTCTAATATTTGTCCAAATCGGATGGAATTTGGCACCTAGGATCGAATTTAGTCTAGAAGCTAGTATGTCAAATTTGGTGAAGATCGGTTCAGATATAGCTATAGCTCCCATTTATACTCTTCTTCCGATTTGTTATTTTTGTCCTCCACAGCCGTAATATGAACTCTGTAACAACACAGTATTTGCGGAAAAATATCAAATACAGCTCAGAAATACCTTTGCTAAATTTTATCGAGATCGGTTCAGATTTGGATATAGCTCCCATATATAACTTCGTCCGATTTACTTTTTGTTGTGCACCAAACGTCTAATATTTGTCCAAATGGGATGGAATTTGGCATATACGACCGAATTAAGTATAGAAGCTAGTATGTCAAATTTGGTGAAGATCGTTTCAGATATAGCTATAGCTCCCACATATATACTCTTCTTCCGATTTGTTATATTTGTTACCCACAGCTGTAATATGCACTCCGTAACGACGATTTTCAGCGAAATATATCAAATACAGCTCAGAAATATCTTTGCCAAATTTTATCGAGATCGGTTCCGATGTGGATATAGCTTCCATGTATAACTTCGTCCGATTTACTTTTTGTTGTGCACCAAACGTCTAATATTTGTCCAAATGGGATGGAATTTGGCATATACGACCGAATTAAGTATAGAAGCTAGTATGTCAAATTTGGTGAAGATCGGTTCAGATATAGCTATAGCTCCCACTTATATTCTCTTCTTCCGATTTGTTATATTTGTTAGCCACAGCTGTAATATGCACTCCGTAACGACGATTTTTAGCGAAATATATCAAATACAGCTCAGAAATATCTTTGCCAAATTTTATCGAGATCGGTTCAGATTTGGATATAGCTGCCATATATAACTTCGTCCGATTTACATTTTGTTGTGCACCAAACGTCTAATATTTGTCCAAATGGCATGGAATTTGGCACTTACGACCGAATTGAGTCTAGAAGCTAGTATGTCAAATTTGGTGAAGATCGTTTCAGATATAG